TTCCTCCCCGACCAGTGAGGTCATCCACAGCAATCCGCCCTGAAAACGCCACCCCGCAACTTGATCCCCAGCCCTGGAACACCCCGCTGCAAAAAAACGCACAGAGCAGTAAATTAATAGATAAGGATGGAAAAACTGAAGTAGAACTAGAAGCCCTCCCTCGAGGTAACCTAGTAACATTAATGAGTGATGAGCAAATAATCTCTTTCATTACGCAACTTGTTCTCACTTTTACGGATGGAAAATCCGAGAAGGAGATTTCATCCTTAGTGAAAGTGGCAGCTGAGAGACTGCTCAAACAAAGAGTAAAACATGACGCTAAAGATGTACTGGTATAGCATAGTAATGATGATGACAGCGCTAACCATATTACAATGGAACGCGCAGGGACTTCTTAATCACGGTCCTGAACTTATAAAATACTTAGATTCATATAAAGATGTAAAGTACCATTTAATTTGTGTTCAGGAAACATGGTTCAATGATGATAGAATATTGCAAATCCCTGAATATACATGTTTTATTAGAAACAGGGAAAATCAATCTAAAGGAGGGTGTGCCATTTATGTACATGATTCCACCAACTATGAATATCCTGTCAATGACGAAGAATTCGAAATACAACATATTAAAGTTCATGTTGCTGGATCAAAAATCTCCATAATCAATTTCTATAACCCTTGCAAAAAATTAAACGAGATTGTTTTGAACAGGATGATTAACAAACTAGAATACAATCTATTCCTTATAGTTGGGGATTTCAACTCACATAATCCTGTGTGGGGTAGTGCAAAGATAGACCAAAATGGGCACACAATTGAAAATTTCACACATGACAATAACTTTATAATTTTAAACGACGGAAGAGGAACCAGAATAGATCCACGCACTGGGAAAATGTCATGTTTGGATCTTAGCATCACCTCCCCCAAACTATCTTGCCTATGCTCGTGGGAAGTTTTGCAGCACACCCTTGGTAGTGACCATTTTCCCATCTCCACCCAGATATTATTGGACCGAGCAGGGCAAGTGAACAGCAACAGCGAGAAGATAAATGAGGAAACAACTTGGTCTTTTAAAAATTTTGATTGGAACACTTTTGCCGAAAAATGTGAACATAAAATTGAACATAGTGGCAACTATTCCGACCCTACGAAAATGTATAAATGTTTTATGAAAAGTTTGTCAGAGACTATTAAAGAAATAATGCCCCAGAGGGGAAAGAAAAAAACATGACCCTGTACCTTGGTGGACAAAAGACTGTACACAAAGTATCAAAGAAAGAAACAGGGCTAATAATAGATTAAAAAGACACATTTCAATAGAAAATCTAAATACATATTTGAAGAAAAAATCAGAGGTACAAAAAACTCTACGCCAAGCAGAACGAAATTACTGGCAAGAATTTTGCTCAAGACTCAACCGCTTTGTACCAGAATCAGCGGTATGGTCTACCATTAAACGGTTAAAGGGGGTATCTGTCAAAAAAACAAAAAACATGTCAGTCCTGATAGAAAATGAAAAAGAAATCACATGTAACAGTGAAAAGACTGAGGCTTTCTCTAAGTTCTTCCAATCAATTAGTAATGTTAAAGAATGTCCAGAAATAAAAGAAAACAAAAATGTTGAGCAACAAGTCACGAAATCACTGAAGCGGGGAATGGAGCATATCTTGAATGAACCATTCACTCTTTTTGAATTGCAAAAAACTCTAAACACATGTAAACAATCAGCTCCTGGAAAAGACAAGATCCCTTATCAGGTTTACCAAAAACTTCCTCAGAAAGCAAAACAATATATGCTAAAGGTCATGAACTTGATATGGGATACGGGTAGCATACCTCCCAGTCTGAAACACTCTATCCTAATACCTGTGTTAAAACAGAATAAAGACCCCCGAAAGGTATCGTCGTACCGACCCATAGCACTTTCCTCATGTTTTGCCAAGATACTAGAACGGATTGTGAAGAATAGACTCCAATGGTATGTAGAAAAGAACAATATACTTCCTCCCCTCATGACTGGCTTTCGTAGTAAACGTGGGGTCACGGATAACATTGTACTTTTAGAGAATGCCATCCAAAGAAGCATTAATGTTGGTGAATATACTTTAGCAATCTTTCTCGATATTGAAAAGGCATATGATAGACTTTGTATCAAAGGCCTTATTTACAAACTATCAGTACATGGTATTACAGGTAATATGCTCGAGTTTCTCTATAACTATCTGAAAGAGCGGACTTTCCAAGTAAAGATTGGTAAAGAAGAATCAAAATTATATGAAATGTACAACAGCCTCCCCCAGGGGAGTGTCTTAAGTCCTATATTGTATAATATCATGATGAGTGATATTCCAACAGATGAATTAATCACCACATCTATTTATGCTGATGACTGTGTCATCTGGATGTCAGGTAATAACATAGAAATTATTTCAAACAGAATACAGTGCTATCTGAACACATTGAGTGAATGGTTTACTAAATGGGGCTTTCGCCTTTCACAGAGTAAATCCTTTCCAGTGTTATTTACTAAAAACAATAAAGCAAAATACCCAGAACTAAAATTAAACAACGACGCACTTTTATTCCAATCAAAGAAGCATTTCCTAGGACTTATATTTGACAAAAGACTTTCATGGAAGACGCACATAGATGCCATAGTCCTTAGATGTAAAAAGAAACTGAACATTCTTAGGTGCCTTACTGGGACTACATGGGGAAGCTCCTCGAAATCCCTGCTAATGGTATATAGAGCATTGATAAGATCGTTATTAGATTTTGGTTGTGAAGCCTATGACAGTGCGGCTCAAAGTATAAAGAAATCACTTGACTCCATTCAATATCAAGCCTTGAGAATTTGTGCGGGAGCTCTTCCTCTTACATCATTAGATTCACTACAAGTTGAACTAGGTGAAATGCCCTTAGACTTAAGAAGACAGATGCTGGCGGACAGATTCAGACAAAAGATTGAAATGCATCGAGATCACCCTGTCATATTAAACGTTAAGCCCAGCTGGCAAATGGAACTTTTGAAGCTCCAAAAGAATAACAAGCCATTTGGATGCAGAACAGAACTAATGAAACATTGTACTATCGAACCTTACACTATACCTAGTTTCCCCCCTTGGAAAATTAATGCTCCAAAAGTGTCGATAGAATTAAGCGAAATAGTGAACAAACATGAAAACCCATCTTATTTACGTCAACGCAGTTTAGAATTGATCAGTACCAAATGGCCAATACAACTACACATCTATACAGATGGGTCAAAGGTTCCAAGTTTTGGAATAAGTTCTGCTTCTTTTTATGTACCAGCATTCTCCTTTCAACAAGCCAAACGATTGGCGGATCACACCTCATCTTTCAGAGCCGAATTGGCTGCAATTGTCCTTGCGCTTAATTGGCTAGAGAACATTAATGTGTATGTTGGCATTGTTATTTTTTGTGATTCCGTAAGCGCCCTGCTCGCCATAAAGGATGAAAAAGATATTACATTTGTAACTGAAATTATTACATTAAGTACAAAATTATCGTATCAAGGAAAACACATACACTTAGAATGGATTCCTAGCCACTGTGGTGTACACGGAAATGAAATGGCAGATTTTTATGCAAAATCTGCTTTACAAAATAACATTGAAATTTGTAATAAATTATCCTTTTCTGAAATAAAGAGTATTATAACCAGCAAGTATATAAAACTCTGGCAAGACAGATGGAATAATTCTGATAGATCTCTTAGACATATACTGCCTACAGTAAATCAACCATATGAATGTAAGTTGAACAGATTTGAAGAAAGTATTCTCCATAGATTAAGAATAGGAGTGATAGGTTTGAACTTAGATCTCTTCAGATTGAATATACACTCGACAGGCCATTGCAATAACTGCATAGGACGTACTGAAACTGTAAACCACTTTCTCACTGAATGCCCAAAGTACATAATAGAAAGAGCTATGTTACTCGTAGAAACTGATTTATCACATCCACAGGAAATCATGACACTACTTAAACTTTCAGAAATAGTTAAACAAAAAGCAATAGTTCGCTTCGTTTTAAGAACAAAGCGGCTGTATCAAAACAATTAAATTGTTGTTGAGGTTTTTTTTTTTTTTTTTTTTTTTTTTTTTTTTTTTTTTTTTTTTTTTTTTTTTTTAATCTTCTCTTTTCCTTTTTCTTGCACCAATAAAGCCCACAATACTTGTAACTAATTTGACCATTTACTTTTTCTAACAATTCGGTGATCACCTCCAACATCACATGCTAGCTGGCACCCCCTCACCTATGCCGGAGTGACCTAGGTTAAAACCGAAAGTCTGCGAAATATACCTCAAAGACTGGTAAGATGGCATTTTAAAAAGGGTGGGGGTAAGTGCGAAGTACACATGTGCATACGTGAGGTGATATTTGAACGCGCACGTGCGCGTAAACACAAGTACGTACGTTTAGTTTTAGTTTATAGGCGTTTTTCATTCACAACCATAGAGATATATACTATATCTCTATGTTCACAACTTGCTAGGCCGTCGTCTCTTTCCAAAATTATTAATTTATTGAATTTTCTCTCTAAAAAAAAGTTATAGAGTCTAAAAAGAAAAAAAGAGGAAGGAAAGAGGATGGAAAGAGAAAGAATCCTAAAAATAGTCATTTATGACATGAAATTGTACATATATGTATATATATAAATAATTCATAAAATAGTGTGTGGCAAAAATAGTCAACTGTGACTGATTGCCAAACAAAAACAAATCAAGAAGAAGAAGAAGCCTCATACATATTCATTTATATGACGTCATAACGAAGAGGATTGTAGTAGTTTACGACGTGTTTCTTTTTGGGAAGTACTGATCGAGATCATTAATACAATGCCATGTTTGAATAAAAAAATGTATTAATGATAAATTTAACCACAAATTTTAAATAATTCAGTATTTTTAATTTATTTACATTAAGATATGTATTTCATATTACTATAAAATCTATAAAATATTGTTTTAATGGGTCAAACCTTTGTGCAGTTCAAATTGGCATCGTTGAGCAGCAGTGTACAACGTGTGCAAGCAGCAGACATGGCTAACCCAGCCCCTCGTCCGGTTCTTCAAATTGGTATCGTAAAGCAGGTATTATTACTCGTTTTAACTTTTAACTTGAACTATTACAATATGGATGAATTCTTTCGTTTTTTAAATAATTTCTCATGTTTTTATTATGTTGTGTCGTCCAAAAGTATCATACCATCTGCATGGTCTACTGCACAGTGCATTGCCACTGCACTGTGCAGTCTGGACACAGCTCATTCAGTCAGTCACAACCCACACAGTGGCATGGCACTGCAATTGGCACTGCCAGTAGGCAGTAGATCTAGGCCTAGCCCCAGCCCTAGGTCTAGTCTACACCGAGTACAGATCAAGACAAGTAGAACTTTACGCATTGAGCGCTGTACAGTGAGATTATCAGAGATAGCGTGCTCTCATCAGTAGGGGCGCTGGTCGAGAATGAGGATCATCCTCATATTAGGGTGTCTGACTCTGATCGCGCACCCGATGTTGTGTGCTAAAATACTTCCCATAGAGATTGCACGCATCCCTATGCAGTCTACGTGCATTGCGCGACCATGAAAATTGGTCAATGATTTTATGAAAAAAATGAAATTCAAACCTTTGGGGCTTGTGATCCTGAAGGTAAAACTCAATAAATGAGGTGTCATATGAAAGAGCAGGTTTTTCTCCATATTCCCCAAAGGGGCGCACCCCCGAAATTCTCAAAATATCTTGGTCAAAACAGCGATTTAAATGTTGTTTGCATCCTAGCTCCAAAATTTGCCACTTTCCTGAGCTTATGTCCGGCTAGACGTAAGGAAAGTATGTATGCACTTATTTTTTCGCTAGCCCCAAGAGATCACTCGCCCCAACAGTTTAAAAATACCCTTCCCACATTTTTGGAATCAGCTAATTAGGGAGGCGTGAGCTCCGCTCAGTCCAAACCATGGTTACATCGCGTAACATGTGCGCTTATAGTAGGGTGTCTGAACGATTTTTCAATTTTCAATTTGGGATCGTTTTTCACCATTTTTGTTTGATATTTGAATAAAAAATGTTATCAGAATAATACATTTCAAATTTCAAGTCTCACCGATGTTTCTATCAAAAGTTACAGCCCCTCCAACACGCTGGTATATTCATATCATTTTGGTCAAAATCGACGAAAAAGACGTCCACGCAGAGTGATGTTGTTTTGCTAAATTTAGCCAAGCAGCTGTATCGCGCGATATGCAAGCGTATGCATATCGTACGCATGCTGCTAAGCCAATCCGCGACTTGCAGCTTGAGCTACGCTGTCTCCGCGACATGTGCCATTGACTAGTATGGTTGGCGTTCGTCGCACAAAAAACCCGGAAGTGAATGCACGTTATAGTCAATGGCAATATCGCGGAGATGTCTCCGCGATATTGCCATTGACTATAACGTGTATTCACTTCCGGGTTCTATGCCGCGAATGGCCACCCATACTTGAATTTGGGGTTTCGTTCGTACGCGGAGATGTTACGCGATGTAACCATGGTTTGGACTGAGCGGAGCGCACGCCCCCTAATTAGCTGATCCACCAAATAGCGAGAAGGGTATTTTTAAACTGTTATCAGTTGTGATCCCTGGGGGCTAGCGAAAAAATAAGCACATAGAATTGTTCCTTAGGTTTGGGACTACTTATCGATCGGGGCGTCATATCTCAAAAGTGACAAACCTCAGAGTTAGCCAGGACACAATGTTTCAATTGCTGTTTTGACCAAGATATTTTTAGAATTTCGGGGGCTACGCCCCTTTGGAAATATTGGAATTCACCTGCTCTTTCATATGACACCTCATTTATTGATTATCACCTTCAGGATCACAACAGATAGAGGTTTGAATCTCGAATTGAAAAAAAAAAATTGACTTTTTTTGCATGGTCGCGCAATGCACGTAGACTGCATAGGGATGCGTGTAATCTCTATGGGAAGAATTTTAGCACACAACATCGGGTGCGCGATCAGACACCCTACTTATAGTGAATGAAAGTATGGATGGCCGTTCCCACCATAAACCCCGGAAGTGAATACACGTTATAGTCAATGGCAATATCGCGGAGACATCTCCGCGATATTGCCATTGACTATAACGTGCATTCACTTCCGGGTTTTTTGTGCGACGAACGCTAACCATACTAGTCAATGGCACGTGTCGCGGAGACAGCGTAGCTCAAGCTTGCAAGTCGCGCATTGGCTTAGCAGCATGCGTACGATATGCATACGCTTGCATATCGCGCGATACAGCTGTTTGGCTAAATTTAGCAAAACAACATCACTCTGCGTGGACGTCTTTTTCGTCGATTTTGACCAAAATGATATGAATATACCAGCATTTTGGAGGGGCTGTATCTTTTGATTGAAACATCGGTGAAGCTTCAAATTTGAAATGTATTATTCTGATTACACTTTTTATTCAAATATCAAACAAAAATGGTGAAAAACGATCCCAAATTGAAAATTGAAAAATCGTTCAGACACCCTACTCATATTCATAAATGGTGATATCCTCGTCGATGGCAATGCGGACGAATTGCATCCTCAAAAAAAAAAAAAAAATTCATTGATGCTCTGCCGGTTTCGGGGTTCTCGAACTGCCCGCTGGTGATGCGAAAAATATAATCTGCGTAATAAAAAAAAACCCAGTTCACGGTTAGACCGAAAGCTTCAGTCTCTATACCGTCGGTTGTTCCACTGAGACTACGTCTGGCTCCACTAGACCTCCGGTTATAGAGACAGAACGATCGCCTATGCCAGCCTATGTTGAAGATATCACGGCTAGATTTTAGCCGTTAGGCCCCTCCCACAAACATGAACAAACTTGCCACGGCCGTATTGTTATACCCCCAAAATCCCCCAAAATGTCATTTTACCTCGTGCATAGAGTAAAGGAGCCGGTAATCGGCCAGCTCCCGTTTTCGGCCGATTGGTTGGATACAAGGTAAAATCACTCTAAAATACATCGCATAATAGCATAACACATATCCCACACATACCATACCATGCCAGTGTCACTGAAGAACCACATTTGCAATGAAAAATATATCCTAAAATATCACATTTTAGCGATGTAATCGGCGGTCCCGCTACCCGAATCTGAAAAATCGAGTATTTTACGCGTGTCTGTAAGAAATATGGGTACCATAAAATGAGCTTTATTTCAAGTATTTTTCAGCTTTAGAGCCCGATTTTGTGCTAGTCGCAAGCTCAAAAGTATCTCATCGCATGTATTAAATCAATGCAGCCGCACACCGCAACGCACACACGATATCTCTGTCTAATTCAGATTCCAACTTCCGATCATCGCTGTGCCTGTCTTCGGCCAGGCGAGCACTCGGGAGCTCCGGCGTGGGATACCTGCTCCGCCCGCTTGTGCTGTACATCAGCGCGGAAACGCACGGCGCGCGCGAGCGCTTTGTATTGACTTTGTACATGCGGCCGTAAACTGAAACGCTCGGCCGATAACTGGCTCCAAAACAGTGAAAATTGAAATGAATATTGTCATGGCAATTCGTGATTTTTTTCTGGGATTCTTTTTTTGTTTAAATAATACAATACCGCCCAGAAGTTATTGGGCATGTTTTTGCGGGGCGGGTTTTCCCCGATGGGTATTTCACGATAAAATCACGATAAAATATCGATGAAATACTGATAGAATCACGATAAAAATCACGATAATTTGCACACTAGTGAATGATTTCCTCTATCGGGGGATGCGTGTAACCCGCCTAATCCCCCGATAGTATCGTGTTTCATGGTGCGCGTATTTGCAACTAGTCAAGTCATGTCCTCTGCAAGCGCATGTCTTGCTCATCGCGCGCGCTAAGTCTTGATATGTATGATTTGTACGCGCAGTTCCGTATGTGTCTTTGTTTACGTCACAATAGAAAGTATTCACGAGTAAACATTACACACAGTTAAATACTAGTAAAAGCCTCCGCTAAATCACTGACACTGGGCGCGGATAAGCATCGGGTACTGATGCGGTGAAGCAACGAGTAGATCTAACTATATTCAAGTTGCAAAAACTTGCATGATTTGCATTCATTGAAATTATAATTGTGAGCACAATACCTTTCATTTTCACTGCCATATTTTCTGTTCGCCTACTCCAGATATGCGTATCTCATTCCACAACCATGAAAGTGGTGAATAAATTCAATTCAATTCAATTCAACCTCCACCAAATAAAATAAAAATATTCCCAAGATCGTCGCTTCAGAAAACACGCACGCGATCAGATTCTTTCATTTGCCCTATCAGTATCACTGACAAGACTGCCATAAGAAGGGTCTCCACCCCTAAAAAGAAAACGTCCAATCATGGACATTCTTGCCTACTGGTCACGCGTAAAAGTTGCCAGGTGGACTAGTAACCAAGGTTACCAAAACACGCGTAAATAAACATTTTTAGTCGACGGCATTGGATGATTGATAAATAATAAAATCTGTAAAAATGGCATGGATCAATTACTGTAACTGTCTTCGGAGTGTGGATTAGACCAGAGTTGAATTAACAGGAAAACATGTAGGAGAGAGAGAGATAATTGAGAGGGAGGTAGTGTTGAGCTGGAGATAGATGAAGATATTATTCGAGAAGGAAAGGAGTTATGATCGAGGTCAGGATGGGAAAAAAAACAAATAAAATGGATAATTATCTACTTAACAGGGTTGACTAAATATAAGAAGGCAAGACACCAATACGTTAGTCTATTTTCCGTACACCTTTCTACTTCCACTCCTTATTCATCGACACTAGACGAAAACGTTCATGGGTGGAGAAATGTGACAAAGAAGAGGGTGAGAGCATGGACCTACGTATTTGGAGCCCGGCCCCCCCACTCAGGTTTCAAAATGACCGCATGCGTGTTGCCAAAATGTCCTTTTCGTAACAAAAGAAAAAGGTCGAGCCGTATTGACTTTACACACCGGACTTTTGCTGAAAAGGGGGGGTGCGGAAAAAGGCTCGTATACAAAAGAAAAAGGTCGAGCCGTATTGACTTTACACACCGGACTTTTGCTGAAAAGGGGGGGTCGGTTGGAACACGCATATGCGTAC